TGGGAGAGGTGAGGGAGTAGCAAGGTGGGGGGCAGGCAGGGCTGGAGAAATCGCGATGCGGGTACGAGCGGCGGGAAGGTGGAGGATGGTAGGGGATAGTGACTGGAGTGGGAGACAGGGATGAGTCTCACACACACCTGACTGTGCTTCTGTCTCCCTGCGGTGCCTTCCTGTCTGTCAGGGAACCACATTCTGCCTGACGAGGACCTGGCTGCCTTTCACTGGAGCCTGCTGGGCCCAGAGCACCCACTGGCCTCCCTCAAGGTACGGACCTGCGCCCCCCCCTCTCTCACGGCCGCTCCGCTGACGTCACTGCGTACTTGAAGTCTCCCGACAAGTCGCGGCTCGTATCTCTCATTGGCCCGGAATGATCCCACTGCTGCCACCAAGGCGCACTCAGCCAATCACACGCTGCCATGTGGGGAATCCTGCCTCGAGCAGGCGTGTGCGCTGCCTCAGGCTCGTCAATTCTGGGTCCCGGTGCCTCTCTGCTCTCTCCCCTTCTTTCCTCCCCCATTAGGATTGGGAGCAGCTCTGATTCTGTCTGGTGTGGGAATTCTGGAATTAAGATGTGTTATTTTAGGGAAGTTTGTCTAATCCAGGGGTTCTTAACCTGTACAGCAGCTGCACCCCTTTGGGTCTGAAAATGTCTTCTCAGACGTCTTATCAAGACCCGTTGATGAAACCTAAACCTAAGACACATCATAACTTTAGAATGAGAGAGAGAGAATTATTTATTAGCATTTCACGGTAAAATTAAGAACACGTGAAAAAATACTTCATTTTTGATGTGTAGCTTAAAACAACAAAGTCTGATGACCCAAAGTAGTTGTACTCGCATGCACATGCTTAGTCTGTGTTCTCAGTGTTTCAGCTGTTCAAAACGTCTGGCTTATGTCTCGCACCCCAAGTTAGGAACTGCTGGTCTAATCCCAGAGTATGTGTTCCAGAGCAGCAGAAGGTGCACCTCTGTCTCTGCGTCTCCCCTCTGGCAGTAGGGAGATCAGCTCTGCTTGCGGCGGGAATTGGGGCAGGTCGTGTTTGAGCACCGTGGCTCCGGAGTCTCTGGAGCTCCTCGCAGCGTTCCACCAGATATCAAACGGTTCTGTCTGAGCAGACGAGCCTCGGTTTCACATTGAATTCCCAGTCAAGGAGGGGAAGTGGTTGCAGAGGCCCTCTGCGTTCTGCTTGACAACAAGCGGTGTTCTGCGCGGAGTCTGTGCTGTTTGTTTTAGACCCGGTCGTTGTGCCGCGCGCGCCGGGAAGGCTGGGGAGGCTCCAGTGTGCTGTAACCTCCAGGAATAAACCCGAGCGGTTCTCCCTGCCCCCCAGGTGCGCGCTCACCAGCTGGTGCTGCCCCCCTGCGAGGTGGTCATCAAGGCCGTGTCCGAGTACGTCAGCTCCATCAAGGACCTCAGCAACCTGGACGCTGTGGCTAGAGACGTCTTCAAGCAGTCGCAGGTGACGTCTCCCAGATCGTGCAGATCGCAGTGTCTTTTGTCCTCCTGTCTCTCCGGGG